CAGAAAAAAACGTAAAATGGTTCCTTTAAATGCACAACAAATACATGTGTCTGCTGTCTATCTAATTTCCCAACTCGTCCCAGATCCCGCCTCCAACCTGACTCACATTCAGGAGGTGAGTGACTGGGTGCTCAAGGCCAAACTCCCGGTGAGCCTCAAAGATTTAAAGACAAAGCTGGATGAACTCAAGAGCCTGGCCAGCAGTCTTCCGGACAGCACTGCAGTTCTCAACCAAGCCCAGCCCCAGCTGGAGGCAGCAAAGAAACTGCTCCAAGAGGCACAGGATGCTCGGTATGTCCTGTTTTAGAAAGTCAGTGTTGTGAAGAATACTTCGAAAATGTGTTTAATTACATAAAACTGAGTACATGCATTAAAATGTTATATGGTCCAAGTGCTGTATTTGGATTTGATACTTTGCAGCTGATCTCATCAACATTCTCTGACGTGTGTGATGGTAACTGTAGGCACTGCTGTGTCTGAAGCTCTGTTAGGATTTTAATCTCACCTTTTTTGTTGAAAATCAAACACGTAAACAGGACCTCGAATGCTCGTATTGATCACAGGCTGCTGAAAATGAGTTTTCAGGTGATCTTAAATCTTTGTTTGTGTAGTGTAACTGCTGTCACTGTAGTAGTATTACAATACATTCACATTGAGTTACATTATTTTATATTTAAAATACGAAAGTAACTCCCTTAAATGAAAGATAACTGTATCAGAATACAGTTACTCTGGATTAGTATTCTGATAGGCCCCGGGAAGACCCAGGACACGCTGGAGGGACTATGTCTCTCGGCTGGCCTGGGAATGCCTCGGGGTCCCCCGGAGGAGCTGGAGGACGTGTCTGGGGTGAAGGAAGTCTGGGAGTCCCTGCTTAGCTGCTGCCCCCGCGACCCGGCCTGGATAAGCAGACGAAAATGGATGGATGGATGGATGGATAGTATTCTGAATACATATTTTTGGAACATGTATTAAGTTACTTCCCACTACTGTAAATAGTATTGTTTCATGCAGATGAATATGCTGTTTCCTCCTATATGCTGTTTCCTCCTATATAATCTGTTTTTTTGTTGTTGTTTTTTTTTTTGCTTTTCTCCATGGAGATGTTATTGCTTTGTCTGGAATATTTCACAGTATAGACTAGACCAAATCAGACCAAGTTGCAGGTCAGACAGATTTGTGGAGAGGTAACCCCACTCACAGTCAGAATGCCTGTTTTCCTAGATATTTTTGAGGTATAAAACTGCCTCCAATTTAATGAATGTAAGTAAATGTAGAGCTGTTAAATAACATATTGTGGAACATTCCAGGCAGAGCAATGACATCCATAAAATCAAGCAGGTGATGGACTCTTAACACAGTTACACAGTGCACCTTTAATGTATGAATCATTATCTGTGTTATGGAGTAGGACCATGAATGTGAGTGCTGAACATTTGTTTCTTTGTGGACAGGGACACAGCCAAAGGAGTGAAGGCAGATGTGGATGGCCTGGTGGATGGGATGAGACACATGGAAGAATCTCTGTCAGACCTGGAAGATAAGCTCCAGGATAGCCTGGATCTCATAGACAACCTCACCAACAACATCACCAAGGTCAGTCTACCTTTCGCTACAAGGATCAGAGCAAATGTGGATTTATTGCTGATTTTCTTTTTATATTGTAATGTCCTTCTTGTACTGCTTAGGTAAAGGGGCAGCTGACACCAGCAGAGAAGGCTTTGGATGATGCCTCTGTATTACTAAAACCATTAAAACCCAACCTTGATGAGCTCAAAAACCTGCTAGATGAAGTAAGACAGAACACACTGGATACTCAGGACAAGGCAGATCAAGCAGAGGAGAAGGCAAATACTACAGCTGAGGTGAGGTGGCAAATTAGAGGCATTCACATTATGGACAGCAGTACACTTACTAGTATATTCTTACTAACATAAGGTGTTAACTGTCCTCTGTTAGACCAAAATCTTAAAGGTACTGTGTTTTTGCAAAATGGACTATTGTGAGCTTGTTGGACTGTTTTTACCACATCAAAAACATACCTGGAGTTGTGTTTCTTTTATTCACACATGTTTGAGTAATCCTTTATTATTAGTTTGTCCTACATCTCCAAAGCTCAAAATGCAATGTTTCCACTTTGTGATGTCATGAAGTGGTAGTTTTCAAGTTTCCAACACAGTGGAGCACTTACTTTATTACCACATGACATCACACAAAGTGGAGCAAAGGGTTTTCCATTTGAGAGAAGAACCAAGACTAAATATGCAGGATTTGTGGATTAAACATGTGAATGAAACAAAACACAACTCCAGGTATGGTTTTGATGAGGAAACAACATTATAACATAGATCAGAGTCCTCTATTAGATAAAAAATATTTTTTTGTCATAATCACTGCGTGAACAGCAACAATGTAGTAGATAAATATAAATGTGTATGACTTAGCTATTGTATGCTGTATCTCTGCTAACTGTCTTGTTTTTTCTAATAGGACATGAAGACCTTGGAGAAAGAGCTGGAGACTCTTAAAGCCAAAGCAGCTGCCAGTGCACCTGGTGGTGATGCAGCCGATTTAGGGCCACGCCTGACGAAACTTCAACAAGACGCCGTGGCTCTGGCCAACACCACCGACCACATGTTCAAAGCACTGGACGGTAAGTTTGTATCTTTAATTATAAATGTCCTTGGGGGGGTGAAGCTAACTGTAGGCACTGCTCTGTTAAAAGCTCTGTTACTCAACTTAGACTTAATCTGAGCTTTATTTTACAATTCACCATCATCTGACCAGAAAGTGTTGATTTGTTTGGAACTACAACAGGTGAGATAATTTGTGTAGTTAAATGTCTCACATGTAAATAAAATATACAGTCACAATATCGCTTCCCATGAACGCTCGTATTAATCACAGGCTCCTTGATGTCAATGCAATGTATCAATAAGATTTTTAGGATATTTCCAAGCAATGAACCAAGTGGCTCATACACTGCCATAAATTACCAGAAGATTTGGATGGTAAGCTTAATGTTTTTTTGTCTTTCGCAGGTAAAGCAGATTCCATCAGACAGCTCCAAGACAGAAATCATTGCGAAGTCTAGCATGCTGGAGGGCCGATACCAAACTCGGTGACCTTCTTGCTCAACTGCGAAAGACCCCTCGAGCTCCACATTTGCCAAGCCTGAGGATCCTAAACTTAATGAATTTCCTTCGGGATAAATTATTTATCCATCTATCTAAACACACTTTGTACTGGAAACAGCTTTGACTCATGGGACGCGCATAACACATAATATATAATACCAGTCAAACATTTGGACTAATCATCAGTGTGTTTCCACTTTCTACATTTAAGATATATTCAGAAGACATCAAATATATATATATATATAAACAACAAAGCAAAAGGTGGATAATTTGAGGATTTTGTTATTAAATATACAAAAAAGGTGAATTATTTAACTTTTATTTTCTTTGCTAGATAATTTCATACATCATACTTCATATATTTGATGTCTTCTGCATGTATAGAAAATGTCAAAAGTAGTAAAAAAAAAAAAAACACTGAATGAAAGGGCGAGTCTAAACGTGAATAGCACTTACAGAAACACAAGTCAGACAGGTTTTGTTCCAATATTCACTTTTATTTTATATTTTAAAGAAATACACTTTTATTTTCCTGGATCAGCCCACATACAGTTTTCATGTACATGTCTATTACACTTTACTTGCATATTTTTACTGCATCAGAGACAAAAAGAAATGTGTATAGCATTCACATAGAGAGAATGGAGAAAACACTGCACTGCCAGCAGTTACAATACAAACAGATCGGCATCATTACAGCTTGTGGCACTTGAGAAAAACAATAATGAAGAGATAAATACATGACATATAAAGTAGCAAAACCTTTAAATAAAAGTATTGCAATATTTTGTTTTGTCATTTACAAAGAAAAAATATATGTATATATAAACACTTTGACATGAGGAAATAGCTTTCAACTGGCCAACTGTGAGCGGCCCCAAAATCTGAAGAAAAACAAAATAAAAAATAAAAGTGTCAAATAAGCACAGGCAATATCAAAATCTTTTTAACACTTACCTCAGAATGGACTGCATTTATATTTAGGTTACATCAAGGAGCACACTCCAGACTGTGGTGTCAAGTCTTTCCTATAACAGCAATAAAAAACAGTTGTCAATTCAGTTATTATAATCATATACAGTATGTTTGTAATTTTCATTGTTGCCAAGCTTTGAATTTCCTTCTGGATCAATAAAGTATTTATTTATCTATTGTCACTGAGTTTATTATTTTAGCAGTGGGCAAAAAAGAAAAAAACATTTAACAGTTTTTCAAGTCAGAGTAAAGATCACAATTCATATATCCTGTTTAAAAGTGCACTAAAGCCATTTACAGAGACACTTCACTCTGATTGGTTAACTCCACCTGTCACTCAGTCACAGAATTAGAGAGGTCGTCTAATTAGATGAGTGGGAGGGGCAAGTGTGCGTATTTGAACATGAGGCTGTTGATGATATTACCAAAATAGAAATTGCATAAGAGATCGGAACACAATTTTTAATCACCCACCTGGCTTATAATATCCTTTAAAAAAACTAAAATTGCAAAACAAAACGATTAAGCTATAGGCTGTATATAAATGGACATAGCTAACCCTCTAACCAGATAAGAGGTGTTCATGTGGGCACTTCCAGTTCCATCAACTCCAATTCACTTTACATTGGGAAATTGTCATTTTGGTATTAACCCGCTCTACATGATCCCGGTGTTTTTATTTCTCTAGTTTGTAAGTAAATAAATTCCTATTTCTAATACGGACCTGACTCCAAATTCGCTCTTATAACTGCTAGCCCTGTGAGGTTCATTTGACTGGAGCTGAAAACTATGGGTGACATTGCACTCCATTAATCTACTTATTACAGAGTCTATGATTTAAGCCTACATATACAGATGAACACTTAGCTGTTTTATATATCAATCTTACATTTGCGAAGCCTGGTAGGTGGTGTCACTTTCAGAATAAAAGGAGCGGATCTCACGGGACATCTCTGGAGACTGGCACTGTCCTCCCGGTTCACTGTTTGTAGTTCTGAGCGGGGGACACAGACTTCTGCTCGGCTCGTTACCAGACTGATGACCAGTCACCATGTTACCATTAGGATCAGTATTGACTGGGATGCGGAGGGGGTTCTGGGAGGAGTTCTGGACCACTATTTGAGGTAGGGATTCCGCAGTGGGAGAGGGTTCACTGCGAGATAACTGTAGCTTCTTCATCTGGTGGATGGCTGAGGTAGCATTGAAGGCTTGCTAAGAACAAAAGACAGAAGGAGACACATTATATTTTCATCTATAATTCCTTGACGCTCTTTAGTATGTGGAAAATATGTTCAGTAATTATTGGATAAACATATTGTCTGTCACCCCCTAGCAACTTGGATCAGAATGATTTACAATCTACAATCAATACATCTATTTGTTGGTAAATACATTTAAATGCTTATCAATGTACGTGTCACAACAGAGATCCCAAACCTTTGTTATCTTAAGGACTGGAAATAAACATAACATTTTTCAGGGACTGGTGAAAGGGGGTGGGGCAAGTAATAATACCACAGAATGCATACAGCTCTAACCATACTTTGAAAAAAACGGTCTGAAGCAGAAGTGAGTGAAATATATAAAGTGGTAGACTTTAAAAAGAAGTAAAACTCTTTATTGGCCTTGTTTTGGGCCCTAGACAGATGGTTGGGGACCCCCTTGTTATGACATTGCTTGACAGCACTGTAGGTGGCAGTGACTGTAGTGTACATTGTTGCTTTACTTTGGTCCTTTGCGTGAATGATTGTTAGCAGCAAACCCACTTACTTTCCATTTTGATTTGGCAAAGTTCCTCTCCATTTGTTCACAGACAGAGTGATAAATATCCTGGTCTTTGGCTGTGTCTCCGGCGATCCTGCAGAGAGAGCCAAGAGTGAGACACAGTTTCAAAACAAGCACTAAGAGAGATGGCAAATAAACAGAACCTAATCTATCCTAACCTAAAATGGGCACTCACCATGGGTGTCTGAGGGCCTCTTCTGTGTTGAAACGCTTTGCTGGATCCTTCTCCATCATTTTCCTGATGAACTCTTTGGCTGTGGAGGACATTTTTAGACAATGGGTGCATGGCTACTAAGAGTCAGATAATCATATAACACAATTATTAGAGCTGATTATTGTAACAGTATCTGAAAGTACAATGAAGCTGAATCTTTAAAGTTTTCTCTTTCATTTTTATTTTTGCCACATTAGTTTCCCACTTTTGTGCATAATTTTCCTTGTCTAACCTGGAATAACTAAACTGTAAACTAAATTAACAATATGTATTCATAAGGTTTGAAACAAGCATTACACTGACAGAGGATGGTGTTACTATAATCCCATTCACTAAACGTGCCTTTATTGTATAGTTTCCCATGTGTTTAATGTTACTTTTCTTTGTTTTGACCACTGGACCATGACTCTCACCATCTTGGTATGAACTTGTTTTTTTAGGTTTGAACAGTACTTCTAACTTCTAACATGTACCCTAATAGGATTTGCTCTTGCGATTCTAGTCCTAATCCAGCAGGTCAGGTCTGTTACATCAGCAAAGACTCCAGCTATATCAGGCCTAAGGTCATATCTAATCCCTGATGCTATTTTCAAGCTTTGCAGGTCAACCATTTTTCATGCTGTACTTAAAGCTGCACTGTGTCACTTTGCTGGTGGAGGGTCCGCAATTTCTTGACTCTGAAGATATGTTTTGCTTTGCCAAGAATGTTCAGCAGCATGGCATTAAACATATCTATCACTATGGAGACAAGCACGTATGCCACCGAGCCAAGTTACCCATGGAGAGGTAATTAATTAGATGAGTTTAATGCCATTCTGTGGAACATTCGGATAGATTGTACTGATTAGTATGCTTCTGATTGTATTAAATAGAAACTCATTATTTAAATCAATATTGTAAAAAGCTAAAATGGTTACACAGATAAGCAAGTTGGTCTAACACTACAGTAAGTACCTGATTCAGAGATGTCATCCCAAAATGGAGAATGAAAAGCATACTCTGCCCTCATTATCTTTGAAAACAAACGCGTTTCACTGTCCTCAAAGAACGGAGGGTAGCCACACAACCTGCAACACAATGTTCAAGTATTACATCACACAGAAGTACAAAAGAAAATACAATGTAAGTAACTAGATCTATGAAAGAATAATGAATTTCTACAGAATATAAGTGATGACTCCAATAGACCAACAGTCCACTGCTTTGCTGTAGGGCTTCTGGGCCAAAACTTCTGGAGCTAAAAAAACAAAACAAAAAACAAAACATAAAATAAGGAAAATATATTAAACATATAAAATAATATGAACACTCATCCTCCCTTAAAAAATCCAGGTGTTTTAGGAAGCCTGCACCACTTTTAATTAGCTTTTATTTAACCATACAATAAGGGGAAATTGTGTTTTGCATGTGTGAGAACAATACAATATCACAGGGTTACAAAACTATTAATATTAGTACAACAAATATCACAAAGTTAATTAGAGACACATAGATGTGTCTGATATTTGAACTTTTTAGTCTTAAATCTCCAGCAAAGAGCAATATTTTGTTTGAGCTAACCAGCTGTCTAAAGAAATTTGAAGAATTTAGTATGAAGAGGGTTTGTTGACAGGGTTTGTAAATGAGTTTGTAGTAAATCCAAATTATATACTGAATTTATTTGAATTCTGAACAATTGGTATTGGCATTGGTTAATAAAAAACACATATTTCAGTTGATTTCCACTATTAATATTATGAAAAGTCACAGAGACCCTACTGACCCACATATCCTGGAGTTCCACAGGCTGTAGACATGACGCCGTGCTCCACCGTCTTAGACAGCCCAAAATCACTGACCATAATTTTGGCATTTTCGTCCGAGTTGAAGTACAGCAGGTTTTCTGGCTGTGTACAAAATGTGGAACAATGTAAGAAATGATAGCCAACGATAAAGGAGCAGAAATGTTTTGTATGTTTTGTTTTACCTTGAGGTCACGGTGTACAATGCAGTTTTGGTGCAGATAACTGACCGCCTGGAGCACCTGTTTGACCACTGAGCTCGCATCCTTTTCTGTGTACACACCTTTATCGACAATCCGATCAAACAGTTCCCCTCCTGATACCCTGTAATTAATAAGTAATAATAAAAAGTCAAAATACAGGATTCAGAAGATTACACTTTTGCAGTTCAACAACACTAACAGGACTTCAGCTGAAGCACTATACACAGACTGTATATAGAAGTGGACTAAGGGAGTGTGACGACACTCATAGTGTTTGGCTCCAGTAAAACAAACCTCACAAGATTAGCAGTTATAGGAGCAAATTTTGAGTCATATTAGGCCATATTAGAAATATTAATTTATTTACAGATAAAAAAAAGGGGGGTAAAAATTAACATTTTGATTTGCAGCAATTACAGAGAGAGGGGTGACAATTTTTCAATGTAAAGTCAATTGAAAAAAGCTGATGGAGCCACCATGAGCACTTCCTATTTGGAACATGGCGGCTAGTGGGTTTGCTATGGGCATTTAGATAAACTATGGTATATATAATGCAATAGCTTTATATCAATGAGGCCATAGTCATATTTCTTCTTGTACATGAAGTGTATACTAGGTTAGCATTTTGATTTACTATATTGTTTTCATTAAGTTTTTTGATACTATTACTATTCAAGATAATGTATTTGTATTACTATTCTATTTGCTCTTTGTTCCTTGTTTCCTACTTTTGTGGGTCAATAAACTTTTTCTACATCAAAATTCACAAATATTGAGAACTTTTTTTAAATTTGAAACGTGAAATAGCTTTGTCAAGCAAAATTACTATAATAACAACATTCCAATAACATGTTAAATAGATACATTGTCTGAAATTAATACTGGATAACTTACAGCACTATTCAGACCTTTCAACAAAACAATAAAAAGTAATTGTCTACACTTACAGTTGCATGACGAGGTAATAGTGTGTCCGGCTCTCATAAAAGTCCTCTAGACCGATAACGTTCTCATGCTTGATTCTGAAATGTGAAAAGTGAGAAATTGTGTTAAAGATGCACTGTGTAACTTTTTGGTTGGGTTCTGTCACTTGCTTGTTTCTATGGATATGTCATTGCTCTCTACCTGGAATGTTCCACAGTATGACATTAAATAGCTCTATCTTACATTTATTCAATTACAGTTGGTTTTATTGCTAAAAAAAAAATAAACCTAAAAGAAACAAGAATTCCGACTATGAGTGGGGTTGCCTCTCCACAGATCTGGCCTGTAACTTAGTCTGTTTTGGTTTCCATGAAGATAGAAAGACGTAATATCATACTATGACAAAGACAAAGCAATAACATCTCCATGAAGGCAACTACTTGACAGACCCTCCACCAGAAAAAGTTACACAGTGCATCTTTAAAGAATAAGCAATTTACCTTTTCAACACATTGATTTCATTTTCCAGGTTGCTGTGAGCCAGATGCTTCTTTCGGAGACATTTGAGAGCAAATAATTTCCCTGTGGCTTTCTCTCTCACCATATAGACTTCAGAAAAAGACCCTCTGTAAATATTAAAACAGGATTATTATTGTAAACATGATGGAACACAAGAGAGACGTGAGGGTTTGGCGATAAAATTAGAGAACGGTTAATCTGTAGCACTGGTGTACATTTCAAGATATACAATAACTGATAATGAACATAGTTATGATCTTGTGCAGTGGTTTTCAATATTTTTCACATAGAGTAACAACCTTATACTGTAGCATATCTGACTTCCGAAATGCCACCAGATCTAAACCAGGTCTGTAACATGACAGTTTAAAAAGTGGTTGTGTTCAAATATCTTAAATGGCAGATATTAACTGATACTAAATCTAGTACAAAAACTAGATACTATCAATACGGAAAAAATATATTTTTTAATAGTTTTGACCTTAATCGTGACCTATATCAGAATTAGAACAGGACCACAGGACAGTATCATAGAATCAAGTATAATTTTGTTTTTAAAATTACATTTACATTACATTACATCAAAATTGGTATTGCACCTTTCTCTTAAAGTTAAAATCTAGTTTGAGATTTTAGTATTGTGACAATGCTAATCTGTGGCCAAGATCAAAATGTAAATAAAACTGTTCTTAATTTGAACAAAACCAGAACTGTAGATGATCGTGAGTACCACCACAAGGAGGCTGGATATCAAGATACTTCTACACCACAGTTTGAGAACCACTAAACTAGTATACTGTGCGTTCCTCATGGTTGTACAGAAGCACCTGGCCTTTCCACATGCGCACATCCCTTGCAGTACACCTGTAGAGGAACGCTCAGACTAATCCAATAATGAAGTAGTGTCAGGATGTTCCCTCAAAGCTATGACGTCAGCACTCACAACAGAGCACACGCACCACTCTCATTCACAAACAACTAAGCTGCTTTCTGCCTCTACACACCTGATTCTTGTCCTGGTTTTATTTGAAAGGGGAAAAAAAAAAAAAAACACTATACTGTACAGTGTAACGGTTGGAAAAATGCTCCTCTGGGAAACATTTTCATGTGGTTGTGAACAAATTTAAATTAAGGCAGATGATTGTTTTGTAATGAAGGTATTTTTTGGTCCAGGTCAGTATTTCAAAATGTATAAGAAAAAAACTGTATGCTATGCGCCGTTTCAGATGACATCACAACATTTATACTAACTGTATTTAACACTGATGCGGGGCACCTAAAATTAATACGGTTCTAGGATCTAGTTACTAATAGGTTCAAGTTGTCAATGTAAATTTCTCAGTACTATCAGTTGGAAAAACTGTCTCTTGCCCTCCATCTGAGAGTTTAACATCATTACATTATAGAATCTGAAAACTATTTCTCTAGAACTTACGTTCCCATTTTGGCCTTGAAGTCAAAGACATCTTTGATGTTACTGATGCTTTTCTTCCAGCTGCAAATGATTTCTTTCCGCCCCATTTTGGCTCTGATGTTACAGCAGACTCCTGCAGGAAATACAATAAACTATTTTACTGTGTCAGAATTGTGTGCATACAGGCCTTGTTTCTTAGTGTGTTTGTTCATGTGATATAAACTAAACACTGAAGAAAAAAAAAAAAGAAATACATCATGCCTGAAGGTTGAGACAAGGTATATGTTCTGTTATGTAAAGCTGCCCTTACCTGCTTTTAAAGCCCTGCTCCTATCACTTACACAAGACCCAGGGCAGCAAGTGATTAGACAGATAAATAGCACTGTTGAGTTAATCTGATGTGCTTGGGTCCTCAATCATAGTTTACTGCCTGTACCTTCTCAAAAATGTCTCATATTTTCAAAAATCTCATCAAAGAAAAAAACTCTTCACTTTAAAAGTCATAAATTTGGTGATGATGCTCAAAAATCTAGTTATAGTTTGTCACAAAATAAAACATAAAAATCTTCACAGAGTTGTATCATAGATTTAGCCCTAGTCTATAATCTGCAAACTAATGCATGCAAAAATATATTAAGATGCAATTTAATGTACTGTCAGTCATATACTATTCTGCATAATCTTATTCATGACAACTATGTCATAGGAATGATTGCTAAAGACTTGACACAAACATAAAATTGAGTTGCCTACCTGGGAGCGGTGATGTCCTGCTGGGTTGAGGTTCCTGGATGAACCTGACCACTCTGGAGCTCTCATCTGCTGAAGAGGCAGAGAGGCGGAGCTGCAGTGGACACCACATGACACAGCCTCTGTGTTCTAAATACAAACATGTTCAACATGTGAGGGCTCAGAGCTGACAATCCCTTGGGTGTACTCCGATGATGTTTTCAATGTGTTTTTCAATGTATATTTTGCAAATGCCCTTTAGGCTACTTTTTTTTTTAACCCCTGACAGCCCTCTCTCCCTGCACAAGAATTCAAATGTGTATGCACTTTGTGTATACACAAACGGTATATAAATATCTGTTTCTTCTTGAATAGTAGGCTATAACTTCATAGGAGAGGAAGAGATATGGGTTTCCTGATGGGCAGTTGTTAGCCATTACAAACGTAGGCTGTAACGATACAATGTGTAAAATGAAGTGCACACACGCCCCTTAAAACCTGTTAAGCCATTTAATGCAAAAGTTTAAATCTTAATGCAGCAGCTGGAAATTTAAAGTTTTTCTAGCTCCTGAAGGCACATAGATCTCTGTTGCTTTATTAATATGTTATACGAGGATGGTTCCATTTGACCAGTGACACCTGCATTGATACCTGTGTGTAAATCAATGCAAACGTAGGAAAAGCCCAAACAAATCTATACATCTGTGAACAAAATGCTTAAAATAAATGTATATGCGCCGTAGGTTTGTGTAATGCGTAGGAGCTTCTCCTCTTCTCTCATTGGCTAAACGAAACAAAGACGTCGCTACGTACGCGCCTGCGCTCCCTTCTATGATCAGTAAAATCTTTGCGCGCTTTGACGCAATTGAAAATTTGATCAACACCAGAAGTGACTGCATCGAAAAACGACTTACCAGCCTGGAGGAAAAGTTTGGAAAATTGACCACGGACTTGTCGGAGGTAACCACACGAGTGACACAACTAGAACAGAAAGTTGCAGTGCTGGAGAAACCTGTAAAAGAGGCACAAAGACGCATGGACGAAATCGAGACATATACAAGAAGATGGAATCTGAGGCTGACAGGAGTACCCGAAACCGATCAGGAGGATGTGCGCGCCAAGGTGATCTAAATCTGCCAGGAGGTCGTTCCTGACATGAAAAACAAGCAGTTTTTTCACTGTACTGAGCTCCAGTCTACGGCCCTCGATCGACCCCCTGCTTCATCTGTGTTTAGAAATGTGGCCCGTGATGAAAAAAGTTTGGACACCCCTGGGTTAGAGGGTTAGCTATGTCCATTTATATACAGCCTATATCATAATTGTTTTGTTTTGCAATTTTAGTTTTTTTTAAAGATATTATAAGCCAGGTGGGTGATTAAAAAATGTGATCTGATCTCTTATGCAATTGCTATTTTGGTAATATCATCAACAGCCTCATGTTCAAATACGCACACTTGCCCCTCCCACTCATCTAATTAGACGACCTCTCTAATGCTGTGACTGAGTGACAGGTGGAGTTAACCAATCAGAGTGAAGTGTCTCAGTAAATGGCTTTAGTGCACTTTTAAACAGGATATATTAATTGTGATCTTTACTCTGACTTTAAAAACTGTAAAATGTTTTTTCTTCTTCTTCTTTGTCCACTGCTAAAAAATAAACTCAAAGTGACAACAGATAAATAAATAGATACTTTATTGATCCTGAAGGAAATTCAAAGCTTGGCAACAATGAAAATTACAAACATACTGTATATGATTATAATAACTGAATTGACAACTGTTTTTTATTGCTGTTATAGGAAAGACTTGACACCACAGTCTGGAGTGTGCTCCTTGATGTAACCTAAATATAAATGCAGTCCATTCTGAGGTAAGTGTTAAAAAGATTTCGATATTCCCTGTGCTTATTTGACACTTTTATTTAGTTTTTCTTCAGGTTTTGTGGCCATTCACAGTTGGCCAATTGAAGGTTATTTCCTCATGTCAAAGTGTTTATAAATACTTTTTTTTTTCTTTGTAAATGACAAAACAAAATATTGCAATACTTTTATTTAAAGGTTTTACTACTTTATATGTCATGTATTTATCTCTTCATTATTGTTTTTCTCAAGTGCCACAAGCTGTAATGATGCCGATCTGTTTGTATTGTAACTGCTGGCAGTGCAGTGTTTTCTCCATTCTCTCTATGTGAATGCTATACACATTTCTTTTTGTCTCTGATGCAGTAAAAATATGCAAGCAAAACGTAATAAACATGTACATGAAAACTGTATGTGGGATGATCCAGGAAAATAAAAGAGTATTTATTTAAAATATAAAATAAAAGTGAATATTGGAACAAAATCTGTCTGTCTTGTGTTTCTGCGCTATTCAAGTTTGGACTCGCCCTTTCAATCAGTGTTTTTTTTTTTTTTACTACTTATGACATTTTCTATACATACAGAAGACATCAAATATATGAAGTAAAATGTATGAAATTATCTAGCAAAGAGCAAAAATAAAAGTTAAATAATTCACATTTTTGAATATTTAATAACAAAATCATCAAATTACCCACCTTTTTCTTTGTTGGGAAAAATGTAATTGATTGGAATTTACTTTTTTCTTTCATAAATAATTTCATATATTTGATGTCTTCTGAATATATCTTAAATGTAGAAAGTGGAAACAAAGCACTGAATGATTAGTCTAAACGTTTGACTGGTATTATATATGATGTGTCCCATAAGTCAAAGCTGTTTCCAGTACAAGTTGTGTTTAGATAGATAGATAAATAATTTATCCCGAAGATAATTAATAAAGTTTAGGGTCCTCAGGCTTGGCAAACGCGGAGCTCGTGGGCTCTTTTTCGCAGTTGAGCAAGAAGGTCACTGAGTTTGGTATCAAGGCCCTCCAGCATGCTAGACTTCGCAATGATTTCGTCTTGGAGCTGTCTGATGGAATCTGCTTTACCTGCGAAAGACAAAAAAACATTAAGCTTACCATCCAAATCTTCTGGTAATTTATGGCAGTGTATGAGCCACTTGGTTCATTGCTTGGAAATATCCTAAAAATCTTATTGATACATTGCATTGACATCAAGGAGCCTGTGATTAATACGAGCGTTCATGGGAAGCGATATTGTGACTGTATATTTTATTTACATGTGAGACATTTAACTGCACAAATTATCTCACCTGTTGTAGTTCCAAACAAATCAACACTTTCTGGTCAGATGATGGTGAATTGTAAAATAAAGCTCAGATTAAGTCTAAGTTGAGTAACAGAGCTTTTAACAGAGCAGTGCCTACAGTTAGCTTCACCCCCCCAAGGACATTTATAATTAAAGATACAAACTTACCGTCCAGTGCTTTGAACATGTGGTCGGTGGTGTTGGCCAGAGCCACGGCGTCTTGTTGAAGTTTCGTCAGGCGTGGCCCTAAATCGGCTGCATCACCACCAGGTGCACTGGTAGCTGCTTTGGCTTTAAGAGTCTCCAGCTCTTTCTCCAAGGTCTTCATGTCCTATTAGAAAAAACAAGACAGTTAGCAGAGATACAGCATACAATAGCTAAGTCATACACATTTATATTTATCTACTACATTGTTGCTGTTCACGCAGTGATTATGACAAAAAATATTTTTTATCTAATAGAGGACTCTGATCTATGTTATAATGTTGTTTCCTCATCAAAACCATACCGGGAGTTGTGTTTTGTTTCATTCACATGTTTAATCCACAAATCCTGCATATTTAGTCTTGGTTCTTCTCTCAAATGGAAAACCCTTTGCTCCACTTTGTGATGTCATGTGGTAATAAAGTAAGTGCTCCACTGTGTTGGAAACTTGAAAACTACCACTTCATGACATCACAAAGTGGAACATTGCATTTTCAGCTTTGGAGATGTAGACAAACTAATAATAAAGGATTACTCAAACATGTGTGAATAAAAGAAACACAACTCCAGGTATGTTTTTGATGTGGTAAAAACAGTCCAACAAGCTCACAATAGTCCATTTTGCAAAACACAGTACCTTTAAGATTTTGGTCTAACAGAGGACAGTTAACACCTTATGTTAGTAAGAATATACTAGTAAGTGTACTGCTGTCCATAATGTGAATGCCTCTAATTTGCCACCTCACCTCAGCTGTAGTATTTGCCTTCTCCTCTGCTTGATCTGCCTTGTCCTGAGTATCCAGTGTGTTCTGTCTTGCTTCATCCAGCAGATTTTTGAGCTCGTCAAGGTTGGGTTTTAATGGTTTTAGTAATACAGAGGCATCATCCAAAGCCTTCTCTGCTGGTGTCAGCTGCTCCTTTACCTAAGCAGTACAAGAAGGACATTAAAATATAGAAAAGAAAATCAGCAATAAATCCACATTTGCTCTGATCCTTGTAGCGA